TTTTTGCCCAGTGTTTTTGTAGTATATACAAAAGTTTTCCACGATCTCCGTGACTGTTATCATAAGGACTCCTGATAAGTTATCATAAGCACTTCAATAAACGCTATCGTTATATAATGAAAAGGACGTCATTTCAAAATATATGCACGGTCGTGCAATACCATTTTACGGCATGGGTATGTGATAAATTATTGATGTTATATGTGCTGAGTGTTAATGGGCTACTCACACTCACTTTCAGTTTTAGCAGGTAAAATGTTAAAAGGACATCACACTTACAAGACACTACGAAGAATGTGATAACATAAATTCACCGAGAGATTGTCAATAAAATCAACATTATTGGAACTTTACAATGACACAACATCCCTTAGAGTACACTCCCTTTATAACCATTAGAGTACACTCCCTTTATAACCATTAGAGTACACTCCCTTTATAGCCATTAGAGTACACTCCCTTTATAAACATTAGAGTACACTCCCTTTATAAACATTAGAGTACACTCCCTTTATATCCATTAGAGTACACTCCCTTTATAACCATTAGAGTACACTCCCTTTATAGCTCTACACTACGTTCCTATATCAAGAAGCGTCGTGCCCTTGGCAAAGGGTGTAAAATATTTTTGACGGAGTAATTTCGTTCTGTTTATGAACATAATAGAATGTTTCTTGTTTGTTTCTCTAGCAGACAGCTATTTGTTGTTTTCAGAAATATCAAATATAAAATTTTACCAGAATGATGATGTTCGACATGGCCGTCGACTGGAAAATGCACTGTCTGCAAAGATGCGTAATAGACTTAAGGAAACATTTGCTACTGATCATATTTAAGATACTCTTCTGCCTAAAAAAACTAGTATTGTTCGCATCTCAAGAGCTACTCTGATAGTGTGACATATACATATGAAGACATTTACAAAACTTTGATTCTACATTTCTTGCCCCATCACTCTCAATGCCTTTGTCACTGGTCAGGGGAAGTAACTGTTATGAATAACATATTCTGGCTCGGGCAAGGGTTCGTGCGCGCTGCAAACATAAAACGAACGTAGATTTTAATTTTAAGAAAATGGTTTAACCTGATCGATTAAACGGTAGTGAACAAGTTTTGATAATGTTACTTTTAAATAAAGTATCCATTTTTCAATCTGGACATAAATTTATGTTTTTATCATTTTTATGATACTAGTAAGTTTCAGAATATATACTGACTGAATAGCAATTGGTGAAAACCATGACCAGACAACGGAGATAAACTAGCTGCTGATCTTGATGTGAACTGGTCGCATAGGTATATTTAGTTGCTACCAATAGATAAAAAATACTATGGTACTAGACAAAACTACGATGGTACGGAGATGAAACCACGATTATACTAGAAAAAAAAACACAATGGTACGAAGATGAAACAAAATGCACAGTAATTTGAGTGAAAGAAAATCTGACTTTAAATGAAACCTGCACATATTAAAAGCTTTTTTATTTGTAACGATGGTCAATCGTTTGTTTTTCTTGTTATTTTGAGTCAAACATGCTAGGTTCCTGTACTGATCAGGGGAAGACACAGTTGAACAACACAAAAAAGCTAGTGTGGTGTTTTATCTAGTACCATGATCGTGTTTTCATCTTCATACCATTGTGGTTTCATCAGTACCATTCAGTTTTCATCTAGTTCCATCGTGTTTACATCAAAGTACTTTCATATTTTCATTATCGTTCCATCTTGTGTTCATCATCGTTCCGTCGTGTTTTCGTCTAGTACTATATGTTTTTATGTTTTCACCATAGTACTACGTGATTTTATCTACGTACAATCGTGTTTTAATCACCGTACCATCGTGTTTCCATAAAAGATCCTTCGTATTTTTACCTACCTACCATCAAGGTTTCATCTTATACCATCGTTTTTTTTTTCATACAGTATCATCATGTTTATATCTTCGTACCATCGTGTTTTCATCAACGTAATATTGTGTTTTCATCAATTGGCAAAGATCCCATTGTCTATATACTTCTTTCTTTCCATGGTTTTAGAGAAGGGAAGGGCATAAACCGATGGTTAAGTGGTAATTTTCACTAGTTTTCTTAGGAAAATGCCTCATAACAATGTCTTTAAGTAGAACCAGACGCACTCTTTCTTACATAACTGGACCTTATGATGAGTGGCACCCTATAAATAGCTCGCGGGACGCTGTTTTGAAGAAGGCCTAACGGTGACTTGATGCATTTTTTCCAAGATAAAATAAAGTACTGAAATACTATGTTTGAAACAACACAAAATTGTTTTTCCAACAAAATATAAAAGTTGAAGACCGCTTTAACATATCATACCAACGTGGCGTTTATTCTGAAACGAGTGTGGACTTACCACATAATGTTTGTTTATGTGTTAATTGTTGACATGTACATTATTATTTCTTCTTATTTCTGTTTTTCTCTTCTACCGTTTATATCGAAACGGAAAATGTAGTTTGGAAAAAAATACATTGTAAGTTCCAAAATTGGAAAAAAATATCTGAAAATGAAAAGTGAACTTGTGATTAATGCTTCCGAGGGATCACTTTGTTTCCAGATCTTTATCAAAATGAATTAAAAATGTATGTAAGACTTCATATTCAAGTTTCTTTTAGCAAGCGTCTTCATTATCGCTTTATTACACGAATTCTGCATGTATAGTGTAAAACATCGTGCATAGAATTAAAATCATATTTATAAAACCATCTCTTTGGTTCATTTCTAAATGACAATTTTATGGGAAAATTAGGAATGACAAAAATCGTCATCGGATACATTCCTAGTTTTGGGGAAAGTGCTCTTTTTTGCCATTTGGAATGTGAAAGAATCTGGCACACAGTGACACTGTTGAAAGCATGTTTACACAATAATAAATTTTTTAGAAGAGGTATTTCACTTATTGAAAGGAAATGACGCATTTGACACTCTAAAGGCGTTTCAACCATTTAGATTTGCTTTTCTCCTTAATGAAGAATATGAGATTATATTGTATCGAGATATATCGACTCTATATTAGAAGATATGACTTGACATTATCATAAAGATACCATTGTCAATAACTTACACTCTTACATGATTCTAAATGTTATAAATTAATTTAAAAACAAACAATTTCCATACATTGTCATTTATTCACGTCAAATATACATAAAATAATACCAGGTACATTATGCACGACCACATATGTCGACACAACTCACGATAGTTAAAACAATAAGCTTACCCAGTCATTTAACATATCTCAAGTTTCTTAAAGTTCTATTATAAGCTGAAACTAATTTACACACCAAATAATTGTTTTCTTGAATCTGAAATGCCAATAGATGTATATCTTATTAAACGTAATCAGTTACATGTAATTCCAAATTAGAAACAAGTTACACAAAATTTTGCATGTCATTAAAGTTCCCTCGTATGGCTAATATACATTGTGCACTGATCAGTAAATGATATCAATGCTGACGAATCGGTTCCGTATGAAAAGCAGCAAGTGTGGTTGAGTCCAGTTTGTTTCCTTTTGAATACAAAATTTAATGTTCATCAGAAAATGAATGCCTAACTAACCTTTTTGCCTAAAAGATTTGCTACTGAGAAGAGAATGTTTGTATTACACATCGTCGAATCTTTTCCATCCATTTATTTCTATTTTTTGAACCATAAAAACCTCCTTCCATTCTTTGCTTTTTTTGCTTTTAGCTTTTCCTCCAAATCGACCATAACTTGTGTAATCTTGTCATCTTGCTTGACACTTCTATGGCGCGTAGAAAGCTTCATGTGGTCGTCGTATTCCATTAGCTGTCTAGAGACAACTGCAAAATTATTTTCAATTTTGTTTGGCATTTTTATCCCCTTCATAAGCCCGCCTGCAGGGTATTTATCTTCTAGCTCTAATCGCTCGTCTATGTTTGCGTCATTATTCCTAAAAAGCATAGGAAACTTCAATCGAAAAGCTTCATCTTTGTGCTTTAGTCTTTCCATCACTTTATTTCTTTGATGTGAATATAAAACGATCAACCTCTTGGGTCTCTAGAATGTTGAGTCTTCTTTCTCGAGGAGCTGAAGAACGAGTATACAAGTGTACACTTCTCCGTGCCTTAAATAGTACGTTCAATTAACAACTTCGTATGATGCTTAGTAACCAAAGACGCCACCTATACTTTAATACATGTTTTTCATATACCGGTATATATTATATAAATTGTGAATAATGAAGAGTGTCTATCAAAAACCTAAATGGTAAAATTCTTAAAACTGACATGCATTCGATCGAGAGTTATCTAGACGTCCTAGGTTAGAATTAAAACCGAAGTCAAGTCTTCTAATAATTATAGGTTATTATACATTTTACTGTATAAAACAGGAATATATTTGGCCTCGTACACAGCTTAAAAAATCATACTGGACGAGTCGAAACACCAAAAACATTATTTGTAATGGCATTAAGGCAGCGATAAGTTGATAAACATTACTAAGGTTTATGTATTTATTGGTAACGGTAATTTAGGCATTCGTCTTAAATCCGTAAAGTATATTGTATCAATAGTAAGCATAATAGTAAGGTTAGCAACCGGACAGTATTTCAGACTACATAGATGTTAGTAAACTGACTCGGCCCTATACCCGAGGGATCGGGTCTGTTATGTTAACTTCTACCCATTCGAATATTTAGTGTGGTTTGTTGTTTGTTTTTGTTGTTGTTTTGTTCTTTGTTGTTCTTGGATGTTTTTGTTGTTGTTGTTGTTGGTTTTTTGTTTCATTCTTTATTTCATTCATATTTAAACATGATAAAAGTGTTTAGCCTTTGCAACTAATTAAGCGTCAGGCCATGGTACATATCCATACAGACTGCCAAGTCATTATACTATTGTTACCTCATTTATATTTTATTTAATATTTCGATTGAAATTCCCTTAGAAATTCGGTCTGACTGTTTCAACCTCAGAGCCGGACAATGGCTATAAACAATAACAAAAACCAGTGTAACAAATAAGGTTTTATTATTTTAACATATCCCGCATGTATCCTTGCATTCTAAGCTCATTGATGGATCGCTGCAAATCATGTCTTTGAAATCTGCGCACCCGATAGTGATATCCTTACACGGCCTATTTTCTGTAAAGACAAAAACATAAAACTCAAACGTATATCATCGAATTTTCGGTCAGAACATTATTAATTAATTAATTAATTTGAGATTAAAGACATGATCTTTTAAAGATATTTCATCAAAAATCAAGAAAACGATCAAACGTTTAAAAAACAAAACAAAAAAAAAACTGAGAGATATAACGACATTTAGATAAAAGTAAAAGATGCACTCAGTTTGATTGACCCTGTTCATGACTTGAAACTTTTGAAAGACTGATTATGACCCAACATATTTTTGTAGCTTTTGTGATGGAGCTCTTAAAATGCAAATTTACACTTTTCTTAGTTAATGCACAAAAAGCAATCTAAGTATTCATAATATCTTTAAAAAATGAAAATCTGAAATAAAATTTAATAAGTTAAAAGCATACGTAGACACATTTTGCAGTGCCCTCTGCAATTGTCCCACATCCATTCTCTTTGGTCAAGGTCAGTACATAAGTTGAGCGCGTATTTGTCGCAATCTGTCAACACATTACCACATGCCTCCTCTGAAAACGATTATGAAATATCTCTGAAAACCAATTACTAAACACTTGAGTTCTCATTTAAATATTGAAAGATAAAACATGACATGTTGATTATTTGTTTGCATTCATTTATTTGTACTAAAATCATATTGATGCCGTCACTTGTTTTGTATCATTTATATGTTACTACGTTTGTTACAATTCTGAATTTCAAAATCAATACAAGAGTTTGAAAGGATTTGTTTGTTTTTCTATGACATTTATTTTAGATAAAAGAGATGAGCATTTTAAATATTCTATTTTTTCTACATATTAAAATCTTCAAAAGTAGTATGATCTGTAATAGTGATTAAAATTTATGCATGATATAAATACAAAATCCATTTGGCGTACTACAGTATGAGAAATATAAAATAATGTAGGCTAAGTAATAGAAAGAGCATCAAAACATGAGGCTATTGAATTTGTTATTTATCAGATTGCCTAGTGTTTTGATGTCTTTTTCTCTTTTGAATAAAAGGCAAAAATAAAAACAAACACATTCCGTGCAGTCACAATATAAAACAACAGAAAAAGTAACCAATTTACGGGCATCTGAATATGATTTTTCTATCGTTATCCCTTCAATAAGTAAACCCCAGCAAACATGAGCATGCTCTCTTTTTTATTCCCGACAGACCAGACAGTGCAGTACATGGAGTGCGGGTAACTCCAGTTTACGCACTGTGCATGTATGGGTATACAATTAAACTCAGGCACATTTTCAATAAGAAGGTCTCAGGACTATGATTGAAATAAGGCTAATTAGCTCCCCGGGTGCTTTTCTCGTATTTTTTCTCGCATTCCAGCCATTACAGGCAAGTTTTTAAGATAAAAAGAATATTACGAGAATTACTTACTCGGAGAAACCGTGCCCGGTGGGGTTGTTGGCTTAGTTGTAGTAGGCTTGGTTGTTGTAGGTGTTGTAGTAGGCGTGGTTGTTGTTGGCGTTGTAGTAGGCGTGGTTGTTGGCTTGGTTGTAGTAGGCGTGGTTGTTGTAGGTGTTGTTGTAGTAGGCGTGGTTGTAGTTGGCGTTGTAGTTGGCGTGGTTGTTGGCTTGGTTGTTGTTGGCGTGGTTTTTGTAGGTGTTGTTGTTGTAGGCGCGGTTGTTGTTGGCGTTGTGGATGTTGGAGTTGACGTAGATGGCAAGGTTGTTGAAGGAATTGTCGTGAGTTTTATTGTTGTTGCGGGTAAAGTTGTTACTGAATTCAAAAAAGAATTATTGGTAATACAAGCAGCCTTAAGAATGTACATTCGGAAGATACACAAGCTGACTGTAAACAGATAAAACTTTACAATGTAATTTATTAAATTAATAATAGAATAAGGGACCTTTATCATTTAAACAATCAAATAACAAAAGGATTGGGACTTGCTTTCATTCTTGGCGTGTCCGTATTTTAATAACAGAATATTACCTTGAGCGATCAAAGCTGTCGGACGGACCCTTCATTTGTGGGATGTGAAAAAGATTTACCTTGGCATAAATTACAATATTTTGCGCAGTGAATTTGGGGACCAATTTTGGGTATTCCCTCTACAAATATAAGTCGGGGGGCCATTTTCCCGCACGTCACTTCTGCGTCCTAAAAGGGTTCTATTTAAAGAAAAAAATAATTTCACTAAAAGCATTTTTTTAAAATGAGGTGTTTAATTTTTACGTAATCTAAAAAAATGGGTAAATAGATAAAAAGGGATTTAAATTTGCCTTTTTTCCAAAAAAGTTTTTTTTCACCCCCATCGTAAAGAACTTTCCCTTGAAAAAATTCAAAAAAGTATTAATCATTTTAAGGGAAATTTGATTTTTTGGAAATTTTGTTCGTGCGTCAAGGTAGTAAAAGACAAAAATTATTTGAAAAGTTCTATAAAAATACAAATATTTTAAAGCAAAATTTTTTTCCCTGGGAAAATTTTAAAAAAAAATTCAACTTAAATTTAAAAATAGCCAAAAAAAGGGGGAAGAAAAAAAAATTACCTTTAACTATGTTGCACTCTTGAATATTAAAAAAGTCATGTTACTCTTTAATACAAATTTAGATAAAAGCATATATTATAAACAACGTTGTACCATGACAGAAGTTGCAAGTTTTGTTGCAATGTATCATAGACCACGGTATGTAATCTCCAGTACAAATGTAGTCGTTTCCATAATCACTGCAATCAGGATCAAGATCGACACAAACCACATTCGCTGTAGCACGTGTAGTAGTGGCAACAACTGGTTTGAAGGAACAGAAACTTACTTTAGCAAAATGTAATGTGTCACTTCTTTAATTTTTTTATTGGTTTGGTTTAAACATATTTATTTAAGCTGGGTTGCGAAACAAGTTCTTGCAAGTTGAATTAATTAAATTCGAGTGCGCTTCCTGTAACCAACCAGTACTGGTGTCATATAAAGAAACATGGTCGTGACCCGATAAAGGCTCGAACAAATAATCCATGGGTTGAGAGGAAGACACCTTAACCACTAGGCCACCGCTCCCCTAAAAATTCTTAAACTAAGCAAGAGAACTGATTTACAGACCAGGGTCTAAAAATAAAATGCTCTTACGTACAGTAAAGATCACGCCATGAATATTTTGTTTGTGGAAATAACAGATAAAAAGCAGTGCACATTTTTTATGAGTAAAGTCTCAATATTCATTTTTATGAATAATTCTGAAAACATTCCAATCTTGTTACAGATGAACATGATGGGTAACAATTTAACATTGTAATGCATATATTTTCATGTTTCCTGTACTCGAGTACATTGTACTTACGTCGGAGTATTTATGTGATGTTTGTGAACTGTTATTTTCTTCCGCATGAATAAAGAGTACTTCAGTGCAATGGTATTTCGTAATTTCTTTGTGAAAATATGTTTTCATTGACTACTAAAATTTCATAATAATATGAAAAAGCAGAATATTACGACCAATATACTAAATATCTTTAAATACATCGGCTGGCAAACGCAAGTCAGAATAAACAAGTGGGCATTTATTCTAAAGATATTAGTTGTTTGACCTTTGACAGTAGTTGTTGTTGTTGTTGGCTGCGTAGTTGTAACTGGGGGTTTAGTTGGCACTGCAAATATAAACAAAGTCAGTCATTTACATTATAATGACATATCTTCTCAAATGCTCTAGTACGATTTTCTTGAAATATTATGGCTCATCTGGAGGCATGCAGCTTTACAGCCACCTTAACACTGCGTAAACTGAAATCTGATCATTTTGCAGGGAGTAGCTAAAGAAAATGATCTTTATTTGAATTTCGAAATGTACTAATGGAATACCTTACAGTAATTATAAGTATATAAGTAAAGAAAACTTACTGCCGTCACATAGGCCGCAGTATCTCTGGCAGTGGATTTGAGACCATGGGATATAGTCACCAAGGCAAATGTAGTCATATCCATATTCATTGCAATCGGGGTCGAGATCAACACAATTGTGGACTGAAATGTTTAAGAGATCAACACAAATAGTGGTTAAAATGTACGATATCAACACAAATAGTGATTGAAATGTACGACATCAACACAAATAGTGATTGAAATGTATAAGATCAACACAATGAAAGAGCAGTGTTATGTAAGATAAACACAAGCAAAGATCGTCAATTATAATACGTACTACTCTTGTTATCTTCAATGAAATGATATTGCAATTCTTTGTTCAAATAGTTGAACATCTCGCCATTTAAGATAAATATAACAGTATCTCTGCACAAGCTTAAAGGCACATAGTGCCTCAGAAATCCATGATGTTTTTTTTAATTCTGAAGAAATGTCAAACATGTGTATAACCATGTTTTGATTATGGATTTAACCACGTTTTGATTATGATTTAACCATGTTTTGATTATGATTTAACCATGTTTTGATTATGATTTAACCATGTTTTGATTATGGATTTAACCATATTATGATTATGAATTTAACCACGTTTTGATTATGATTTAACCATGTTTTGATTATGAATTTAACCACGTTTTGATTATGATTTAACCATGTTTTGATTATGATTTAACCATGTTTTGATTATGATTTAACCATGTTTTGATTATGGATTTAACCATATTATGATTATGAATTTAACCATGTTTTGATTATGATTTAACCATGTTTTGATTATGGATTTAACCATGATTTGATTATGGACTTTACCATGTTTTGATTATGGATTTAACCATGTTTTGATTATGATTTAACCATGTTTTGATTATGGATTTAACCATGTTTTGATTGTGATTTAACCATGTTTTGATTATGAATTTAACCATGTTTTGATTATGGATTTAACCACGTTTTGATTATGATTTAACCATGTTTTGATTATGATTTAACCATGTTTTGATTATGGATTTAACCATGTTTTGATTATGATTTAACCAAGTTTTGATTATGATTTAACCATGTTTTGATTATGGATTTAACCATGATTTGATTATGGACTTTACCATGTTTTGATTATGGATTTAACCATGTTTTGATTATGAATTTAACCACGTTTTGATTATGAGTTAACCATGTTTTGATTGTGATTTAACCATGTTTTGATTATGGATTTAACCATGTCTTGATTATGGATTTAACCATGTTTAGATTATGGATTTAACCATGTTTTGATTATGGATTTAACCATGTTTTGATTATGATTTAACCATGTCTTGATTATGGATTTAACCATGTTTTGATTGTGATTTAACCATGTTTTGATTATGATTTAACCATGTTTTGATTATGATTTAACCATGTTTTGATTATGGATTTAACCATATTATGATTATGAATTTAACCATGTTTTGATTATGATTTAACCATGTTTTGATTATGGATTTAACCATGTTTTGATTATGGATTTAACCATGTCTTGATTATGGATTTAACCATGTTTTGATTATGATTTAACCATGTTTTGATTATGATTTAACCATGTTTTGATTATGGATTTAACCATGTTTTGATTATGATTTAACCATGTTTTGATTATGATTTAACCATGTTTTGATTATGGATTTAACCATGTTTTGATTATGATTTAACCATGTTTTGATTATGAATTTAACCACGTTTTGATTATGAATTTAACCACGTTTTGATTATGATTTAACCATGTTTTGATTATGATTTAACCATGTTTTGATTATGATTTAACCATGTTTTGATTATGGATTTAACCATGTTTTGATTATGGATTTAACCATGTTTTGATTATGGATTTAACCATGTTTTGATTATGATTTAACCATGTCTTGATTATGGATTTAACCACGTTTTGATTATGATTTAACCATGTTTTGATTATGATTTAACCATGTTTTGATTATGATTTAACCATGTTTTGATTATGGATTTAACCATATTATGATTATGAATTTAACCATGTTTTGATTATGATTTAACCATGTTTTGATTATGGATTTAACCATGTTTTGATTATGATTTAACCATGTTTTGATTATGATTTAACCATGTTTTGATTATGGATTTAACCATGTTTTGATTATGATTTAACCATGTCTTGATTATGGATTTAACCACGTTTTGATTATGATTTAACCACGTTTTGATTATGATTTAACCATGTTTTGATTATGATTTAACCATGTTTTGATTATGGATTTAACCATATTATGATTATGAATTTAACCATGTTTTGATTATGATTTAACCATGTTTTGATTATGGATTTAACCATGTTTTGATTATGATTTAACCATGTTTTGATTATGATTTAACCATGTTTTGATTATGGATTTAACCATGATTTGATTATGGATTTAACCATGTTTTGATTATGGATTTAACCATGTTTTGATTATGATTTAACCATGTTTTGATTATGAATTTAACCACGTTTTGATTATGATTTAACCATGTTTTGATTGTGATTTAACCATGTTTTGATTATGGATTTAACCATGTCTTGATTATGGATTTAACCATGTCTTGATTATGGATTTAACCATGTTTTGATTATGATTTAACCATGTTTTGATTATGGATTTAACCATGTCTTGATTATGGATTTAATCATGTTTTGATTATGGATTTAACCATGTTTTGATTATGGATTTAACCATGTTTTGATTATGATTTAACCATGTTTTGATTATGGATTTAACCATGTTTAGATTATGGATTTAACCATGTTTTGATTATGATTTAACCATGTTTTGATTATGATTTAACCATGTTTTGATTATGATTTAACCATGTCTTGATTATGGATTTAACCATGTTTTGATTGTGATTTAACCATGTTTTGATTATGGATTTAACCATGTTTTAATTATGGATTTAACCATGTTTTAATTATGGATTTAGAGCATGCCACCAGTTAAACAACAAAAGAAAGTTTGCTGAACATGCAGTAATGTGTCAAAAAGAATAGCAAAATGTCAGCAAAGTACAACGTAGTGGACATACCTTAAACACGTCTAACACATACCACACCCTACCCCTTCATACATTATGTTTATTATAGATATAAGAAGGTATTAAGGGGATATTAGACGTCAGGCACCTTTGAACGAAAGCACGTACAATATGATTCAGGTTCTTTTCTATGAGGTAACTAGCATTGCCTCGGTGCATCAGTCACAAATTCAGTGTACCCTTGTAAAAATTGTCTCAGGAAGTTACTTAATTGAAATTAAGTCCTGTTTAGTAACTTTCCTATACGTAGGCCAGGATCTAATTTTATAAGGTATTACATTAGATGGATGGATGGATGGATGGATGCTGGGTGGGTGGATGGGATGGATGGATGGATGGATGGATGGATATCGACATCTCTTGAGACCAAAAAAGAAGGTTTGAGAAAGTTGCTGGTGTGTTTAGAAACCATTCCACTGCAAGAATCCCTTAAACTTGAAAGATTAAGTTGCTCACCTGGACAGAGACCACAAAATTTTTGGCAGTGTATTTTGGACCATGGTAGGTAGTCGCCATTACATATGTAATCATGACCATACTCCGCACAGTCTTTGTCTAAATCGGTACAGTCTGTGGAAGACTGTGTCGTCCTGATTGTTGCTGTAATTAAAATGATTTTCCATTGGTTCATAATTGTTCGCAATTGTTCTTTTAGTATAAATCCTCTGAACAAATCAATTATCACTATTGTTACAATGTATATGGTTTATTCGACGAAAGAAAGCGATAAATATAAAATTTATTTAAAAAAAGATAAGAAAACATGCGCTAAAAATGAGTCAACTATATGTCGCAACTATTCGGACGCATACGACAATTCGGATAACGACTAAGCCATTTAGACTTTGCTAATACGAAGGAAAAATACAATTGAAACAGATACAGTTGGTAAATGCGTCGCATCCTTTTAGCATCTTAAATGTTTTATTGTTTCCTAGTTAGCGTCAATATACATGTATTTATATATCAATCTTATTTTAAGATAGGCATGTTAAGATTTATCTTTGATCTACTTTCCCCTCAAATGAAATGACTTGAACTTTAACAAAGTGACTATTTTTCAAAAGCATTCATTAAACCGTTTCTTCATTGAGACACTAACAACGTTGCTGCCTTCTTTTAAGTGTTTAAATCAATCAAGGTTTATGAAAGAGACATTTTCTTTTGCATGAATGACTGTCATGGTTTAACTATAATAATTATTATTCAAAATAAATAAATAAATAATTATAATAATTATAATATAAACATCTGGAAAAGGGATGATCCCTAAGAAGAATTAAATACAACGAAATGACATGAAAATTGCAGACCCGGTTTGATTATGTACATGAGGGATAATGAAAAACTGCAACATCCCTCACGTCCCTAGCACCGTCTCGAGCGGTTACTTAATTTTCAACACTTAAAAGCGCTGGCATCTATGATCCCGAAGTACCAGAAAAATATAACAATATAACAACACTGAATTGAAGCACAGGGCAACTTTTTACGGTTGCCACACGAACTTGACACCTGCTGTTGTGAAGAAACTATAACAATGTTGTTCGAACCATAGATCAACACGTTTTAGGCACTGTTTTTAATAATTCGTTACTACCGAAGTCAACATAAAAGGTTAGGTTGTTTGTTTTGTTTTTGTTTTGTTTTTTGTTTTGTTTTTTAAGATACCATATCTCACCCTCTATATCATCCCGAATTTTTTTTAACTACCTTGGTAATCAGATAAAAAAAATGATGGCAACTAAATTCTACAACTATATCAAACTGCAAATATCTAATAACTACATTTCCAAACAATTATGTCAAACTTGTTTACCGAACAGTCCGAATATAAACCACAACATAAAGCGATCCATTTTAGTTTTATAACATCTTAATGTTCACTATAATTGTTTAAGTTCTGTTTCTAAAAATAACGTAATTTAAAGGTGATAACCTAGATGAATAGTTAAATGATAACAACTTGAAGTTTAAATGTCACAATTTCTTTATCTTCTAGGTGATTCAGTTAAGCTTATAAGACAGTAAACAGAATTGGAAATTATAAGGTTTAGAGGTGTAAAAGCCTAAAATTATTAAATAAAAATTAAAATTTAAATATCAAATTGGGAACTAAAACACACAATTATGAAATAGGTAATATAGTAATATAATAAAATAGGTATTAAGTGCGATTAATATCTCAATTAGAGTTAAGATATTTTAAATGTTTAAAAGTTCAATTCACACACACACGCGCGCGCGCGCACGCACGCGCGCGTGCGCACCCAACCAATTCAACAACAGTCAACACAACACACACAAACCGATTATTCTGAAGAAAAAAAACGGAGCGAGCAAATGCTCACAACAAATTTAGTCCTTAATCGGAACGAACATTTTATTAAAAATAAATCCTAGTTCCGTCAAATCATAAAAGGTGCGCATGGATGACGTCATTTAAAGCACTCGTCATGTATTATACGAAGATTTAAGTAGGGATAAAACGGGGTTTTCTTGCAGATTTCTTGACAAGATTATCTATTTTTTACACCGGTGCAGCTTTACCCCTATCCCCCTCCTGTGGTGAAATTTATTGACGTCATTCTCGCGCGACTTTAAAAGAATTTCATTCCTGTGATAATAGCATTTCTGTAAGACAAGTCGCGTGCTTTGAATGAGGACAACACCGCGTGTCATTTAATGAATTGCATGCTTAGGATGACGTTATTTCGCAGTTATCAATTTAGTTGTAAATTCATACGCTATTTAAAAAGAATTATAATAAACATTACTGTAGTGTTATTTTTTTCTATGTCTTTCCCAAATATGATTTACATGTTATATGTAAGAACCACAATCAACCATCGGCTGTCCTCACAGGCGGGAATATTTATCTCTCGGGTTACTGTTTGCTAAGCCTTTTTACCGCCGTTTCAACAGTTATATACTTACAGCTTTTTTTTCCGGTTTATAACGACAGCCGATGTAAGATTCTGATAGTCTGATGATACGCAAGAAAACATGTACATGCATGTTTTGCGGCACATCCGTGCGAAATTACTTTTGAAGCTTCTATCTATGGAATGCCGGTAGGGACATGCCAATTTGCTAATTTGTCAATTGCTGAATTGCTTATTTGCTAATTGCCGATTTGCTTATTTGCCAATGGCTGATAGTCTTAACGACAAATTTGCTTATTTGCCAATTGCTGAATTGCTAATTTGCTTATTTGTTAACCGCTGGATTACGTATTTGCTTATTTGCCAATTGCTAATTTGCTTTTTTGCAATAGAAATACTTTACACTGTGCCGGAAAGATATGGAAAATCTGACTACAGACAACAAGTTGAGTCAGATCTGTTAACTTTTACCAACAGTATTCTTGTAAATTCAGTGTTTTTTCAAGACTACTGTTGATCTATGAATTTAGTTGCAGTGATGCCTACGCAGATTTATGTCTACAGCTGATGGCTGACATGTCCTTGAGAACACAGACGCTTTGGGTCTGATCCCGTACCCCAACGTGAAACATGCCCCTGTAAACACTCATTTTAAAATATTTTAATATTTAAACACGAATTGGACATCGTTAAAACTGGTTTCAAGCAATTTTTACATATACCGGTATGAAAAAATACCATATACCACCAATTAAGTCTCAATAAAGTACTTAATGGTTTTATCGTTGTAACAAATGTCCAATTCGTATTTGATAAATATTAAAATAATTTTGATATAGTGTTTACAGACGCGTATCACGTTAGGGGCAGGATGTAACCCGCCAGCATCTGTGCTTGAGCCTGCCTTATAACGTGTTGCAGCTATAGATCTGTTTGTGCAGCTTAAGTCAGAGATTGATGGCATAATAAACACTTGATTAGTCATATATAAGTGAACATTATTGGGTAAAGATTGAAAATAAAAGAACTTGAAAACAAAACTATTTCTTATTTTATGGCATATAAAATGTCGTTATTCTCAGCAGATTTGTCGCAGAGGGCCTCATTTTAGTGGTACGAACACATAGTATCACAAATGATACATTTGGTACATGCTTAACACGGGTGTTTGTCTTTGCACTTAAGCAATAGGCTGCGTTTTTGGCTTTGTAAGATTTTGAGATCACTTATGTCTGTTTGTGCATCAACATTTTGCTTTGGTTTAATGTTTTTGAAATTTGGTCACACTTTTCCATTTTTTCATATTGTACATTTTACATGCTATCATGTGACCATGACCATGATCATGACCTAGGGTATAATGGACAAAGCCTCTTTGAATATTGTGTATGCATGCTGCCTATTTAATGCTTATTTGAAGTTACAGTTAGATATAAGCAAAAGTAACAGAGATATGACAGAAAAACAAAGGCTTCTCAGTACAATACATTGGTGACCTTAACATTCAGTATATAACGGGCACAGCTTCTTCATGTACATGTACTTTGTATGCATGCTTGTGACGCAAAGTTTATGCAAAGTTGCAGTAAGATGCATGAATCAGCAAAAGTAACAGAGATATGACAGAAAAACAAGTTACCAAGAAAACCAATGCATTGGTGGGTAGAACAGCATCCCTATTCTCTGAATAGTGGAGCTAAAACTGAAACTCAAGATAATTAAAAAAACAACTACTTTCTGAAACTGAATTTATTTTTTTCGAAATTGATTAAAATGTATCCATCTGTCTTTCTACCTATATTCTAGGTAATGATGGATTGATCCTAATTGTCACAAGTTATAATTAACAAAACTTTATAAACATAATAACATGATATAGGTTCATGAGCTTGAAATAAAGACTACAAAGACTTTAGCATAAAAATATATATATTTAAGCAAATAAGCAATTAGCAAATAAGCAAATTGGCAAATCAGCAAATAAGCAAATTGGCAAATCAGCAATTAGCAAATAAGCAATTAAGTAGTTGGCAAATAAGCAAAGTGGCATGTCCCTACCGGCATTCCATATCTATCTGTCAAGTTACCTTTGAACAGATGCTGATTGACGACGACCACTTTTTGGCCCGTCTACAACTTGATGCCAAAATGATGTAAGCAATAAATCCATTAGTGATACTCCTAATGAACTAAGTTGGGATCAGTTAGGAAGACGTTTCAGAGCTCATCGCTCAGACGCTAGAAACATGACCTCTGTCAAGATTGACACGGTTGATTTGTCGAGTTACGGTTTGTTCTTGGTCTATGTAAAGTGTAATATATTTCGTAAAATACATAATTTTCTAGTGCCAACCGTCAAAAACCTTTTGTCTGGTTCCGTTGTGTATTAGCTCTTGCATTCGTTTGGAGGTTAATTTTTATAGCAATATAAGGCACAATTCTCTAACCAAAAGAATATGGCCTAGAGAGGCATGCATGGCATGGTCGTTTTTTGTTTGTTTTTTGGACTTGCGAATTATTCTTTATATAAAATGTGGAATATTTGGTAAAATGCACCATTTTCTAGTGCCAAAAAACATATGTCTGGTTCCGTTGTGGGTTGGCCCTTGTATAAGTCTGGATGTTCTTTTCTTTGCAGCAATATAAGGTAAAAAGCTTTAGCACAAGGAATGTGGCCCCATGCCATGGTCGTTGTTTTTGAATTGCGATTTGTTCTTTGTCTAGTATCAACTGTAAAATATTTCGAAGAAAACACCACTTTCTAAAAAAACATTTGCCTGATTCCGATGCGATTTGTTCTTGCGGGGCGTCCTTGGCCTAGTGGTTAAGGTCGTTGACTTCAAACCACTTGCCCCTCACCGCTGTGGGAATCCCGACAGGGACTTTGGATTCTTTCATGTGAGGAAGCTATCCAGCTAGCTTACAGAACGTCGGTGGTTCTACTGAGGTGCTAGTTCGTGTCTGAAATAATGCACGAAAGGGCACCTGAGGACTTCCTCCACCAGTAAAGCTGGAAAGTCGCCATATGACCTATAGATACTGTGTCGGTGTGACGTAAAACCCAATCAAACAAGCAAAATTTGTTCTGGCATTAATTTGGAGGTCCTTTTATACAGCAATATAAGGCACAAAGCTCTAGCCCCGGGAATATGGCTTCGAGTGGCTCGCAGGTCATTGTCTTTTTTTTTTGAACGTACGAATGGTTTTTCTCTGTATAAATCTAAAATATTCGTAAAGAAAATATCAATTTTCTTGGGCCAACTGTTCAAATTATAAACATGCAGAATACTTATCATACTTTTGTATAATTATGTTGTTGCAGCGGCCATGTTTTGAACAAACGAAAGTTCTGTGCAATGATTGTCAACCTTATTGCTCTAGGAAACAAACTAGGCGATTTATGTGCAATGTAATTTAAATAGCCGTACTTTTTCATGTGAATTACTGTTGACTTATGGGGTATAACTATTTTAAATGATATCTGAAAATTTAGCGCAGTCAATACATCGAAAAGCTGGGATAAGGTTTTCATATCGAAATAAAGTGTAATTCTTATCAACGCTGCCAGTATTATTTATTTATTTTTTCATTTATTCGGATTATCAAAATACTTTATTTTTATTTCTCAAACATAATTTATCAGCTAATTACTGACTAAATCGACGAGTGAAACCAGTTCCCACCACAAGTATCTTTTCTTATAAAAAATGAAAGGAACTCCATAGTAGTTTTTTGACATGACTGGACTAGAACTCTTTTCCCGATATTTTTTAGGCTTTGGTGCTCAATGGAGTTAATATTTAATATTGTATATGAAAGAAAGTCATTTTTGTATGTTTGGTTTTATTGCAATTATACTTTTCCATATTTAATATGCAAAATGACAAATCACCAATCTTCTTGCCATTCCTGTATTGAGTTGTAGCCTCCTAAAAATTGAGAAAATATATAGTATACTACGTAAATAGAGGATATTGAATGAGTGTATAAGATAAATACTGAATTTATTGAATAAGTTAGATGAAATTGTATTATTTTATTTAACAGTTCAATAAATTCAGTAATGAACTTTCACGAATTTAATTTATCATTTATCACATACCAAAAATAAAGACCGTTTGAAGTGAAAAAGAACATTTCGCGTGTCTTTTCACTATGTTTGTATAACGCAAATGGCGTCGCGTCAAAATATATGCACGGCCGTGCAATAGCATTTTACGGAGTCGCAAAAGCGGCTCGGGTATGTGATAAATATATTTCTCACAATATATCCTTAAAGATATACTATGCTCAAGTTTGATATTTGAAAAAAATGATAACTATTTGTAGATATAAAATAAAAGGACCAGCTCAACTTGACTCGTCATAAGGAACGCGGATTCCTAAACAGAGATTCTACGTTCTTTTCTTGTATAAGACATGTGGAGTAAGAATTTTATAGATTTCAATAAATTTCTGCAATAAAAATAATCAACTCAAAATTGAGCAAAGTATATCTTTACAAGCATGCTATACAAGTAATTAATGATCAAATATGTGGCGTTAGTGTATTTGAGATATTATTTCGGTATTGTATATGAAAAGAAAACATTATAAGAACTGAAAATATAAATAAAAATGTTTTTTATTGTTGCTTTAAGGCTTTGTAAACTATATAATCGAGGGTGTAAACATAAAAGCCACGTATACAAGTAGTCCCTAAACAGTTTTTACTGGCAGTTTAACACCAGTTTTTTCCCTTCTTTGTCTATAGTGACAAGATCACGTGGAGTGATAGAATTTTCGACTTAACATCCGAGGTTATTTCTTTATCAAATATTGTTTACTGTCATTAAAAGTGCAGTAGTATTTTTTGGCAATATTGACCTAAGACTCAAACATTTTCGGGAAATTTGTCAGTAAGTTGTCTTAATTTGTTGTGATTTACGGTAAGGAGTTTAATGGTACTACATATCTCGAAACTTTTAATCAGTAACTACTGCTTGATGGTAAGAACAACTGATGTGTGACCACTGGTTGCAAGTTGTTGCCTTGGTCAAACCTTTTATTGTAATTTTCATAAACTGCTAATTGTGTAGCCTCTACAGAGTATTGGCGACATATAGGGGTCACTTCCCTGTTGCCTATCTGTTCTTCCGCATGTCCGTCCGTCACAGAACAGGTCCGGACTACTTATCAACAACTTCTTGTGTATTTTTATCCAAACCTTACAGGAATGATTAGTACCCTGTCTAGTTGTGCATGTCCTCGCCATTTTTCGGTTCTATGAGTTTTGTCAGTGTTATGGCCCTTTGATTATTTTTATTTTCAAAATTTGTCCGGACTGCTTCTCTAATACATGTACCACTAATGCAATGTGGATGGAATGTTGAAGGATTGATAGGTTGCATAAGATCTTGCACTCATTACATAGGTTTTCGGGTTGAATAATTTTTGGCTGAGATTATGACCTTTGAATAAAAAACGCGTTTCGGCTTGATCATGTGTCTTATGCTATACAGCAGCCGCAACATGCATTTGGCTATAAACAGGCGACACAAGTGAGCACTGATCAATCTTGTTTATTTCTGTAAAATATATCAAACATGAGTTGATAAACTGTGTGTTTCATTTCTAGCATTTCTTATTAATTTCATCATTTTTATGCGCGGACACCCGGTCAGACCCCCTAACCATCCCACCATATGCGGTTCTGCGGAATTGAGTCTGGTCCCCACAGGGGCCAGCCGGAATTGGCCAGATATGAGCTGTAAAGTACGATTTTCGGCTCAACGTCGGCAAAATATCAGAGTATTCCCGACGGACACACCTATACCCGCGGACACCCGGACACACAATGCATGTCACATATATTCTTCAATTTGCTGTCGGATTTTTTTTCATCTTATGTGGCCTTGTTTTCTGTTTTTTCTGGCTAGCCGTAATAGCCGGAGATCGTTGTGATAAGTAATTTGACATTACATTATGGAAATAACCAATGTTCTTTTGCACAGGTTTGACCGTATCATCACTGGCCAGCCTGTATAGCCGGAACCGGATTGAGGCTAGCCGGAACAGCCGGAGTTGACAAAAATGAGCTCCGGCTGCTCCGGCTGTTCCGGCTGTCTGGCTAACTTCACGAACATCATTTTTATGAAAACATATTTTTTCATTTCATGAACTTCAATTCGTACAATGAATGGCTCGTATGTAAAACATATATAACAGTCAAGTTCTGGGAAATATGATAGAAAAATCGTACAAGTAAAAACTAACTGAAAGTCTTCCGTCTAGTCATCGAGCTAGTACGTCAAGTGTTACGTTGGTAATTCTTAGTTAGTTATACTTACATGTATACCGTTGTACCAAACATTAAAATCTGCATGGGGTATTTCGAGATCTGATAATTACCGACAACAGGTCAATAAATATTCAATTGTCTTAGGTCAATATTGTCAAACAATACATAAATACATCAATATGATATTAAACATCGTCGAAACGCGCGGTAAATATTCCATCGTTCCGTATATATAGATAAGTATAAAACAGTTGGAGTTTATGGTAAATATCAAACATTTACATGTATGTTAGAAATTAGTTCTCTATTATTTTTTCTTCATTTTTTTTTTCTAACCAAACGTACCTGTATCAATCGGAATTTGATTGGTTCCTCTTAGCGGACATTTGTATATAGCAGACACCATTGATGGGGAATCTGTGAATAAAAGAAGGAAACACAATATTTACTACATTTTGTACTGTGAAGCAACTTACCCCTATCTTGTGATACAAAACAGAACGATATTCAAATATGAATTAACAATTCTGAAAAAATAGTGTATTTCAGTGTGAAAAGGAAATTGTTTTTTGGCAATTGTGTATAGTGTTAATAATTCCTTGTACGGAAAAAATATATTATATCAATTCAAATGTATCTATGTTTCACAAAGATTATATTATGTATCTGAATTAATTTTAAATATATGAGCCGCGTCATGACAAAACCAACATAATGGGCTGCGACCAGCATGGATCCAGACCAGCCTGCGCATCCGCGCCGTCTTATCAGGATCCATGCTGTTCGCTATCAGTTTCTCTACTTGTTATAGGGTTTGAAAGCGAACAGCATGGACCCTGATCAGACTGCGCGCACTGGATCCATGCTGGTCGCAAACGCATTATGTTGGTTTTGTCATGCCACGGCTCATATATAATATCGGATTGTGGATCTCGCACTTGCCAACAACATCCATATGTAATGCTTACGTCTTTTGTTGCTATGTCTGACACTAAATTAATATTAAATATTGCCAAGTAACCAAAAGAAAGCAATTCACACATTATCAATAACACTTACAACTCATTTATATCACCAAATAGAGTAAAAATATGCTAATATAACTCTTACTGCGTTAGTAACGCAGTAGAAATATAGATACCAATTCTGAAAAACCAGTCTTTAATTGCACATAACATATAAATAATTACTTGAATGTGGAACTTTTTTCCCCTAAAATCTAAAGTACAATTTTCTCAATTTTGATTTTATCAAAATAATTTTTTGCTCATCTGGAGGCATGTAGCTTTTAAGATTGTGCGGTATTTATAAAAACAATACCTATTTTCATGGGCGTATATCCATTACAGAGATGACCCTCACAGCAGTCTGCTCCTATTTGCTGGTAATTCCGCTTCTTTCTCCCGCTGTTGTTACTATGAATCAACTTCAGTAAATCACATTTCTAAATGAATTTAAATGTAAATGTAAATAATGGTCATAATACATACAAAAATAATACCTGTCAGAGTTTCACTTTTGAAATTTCCTTTTACCTAGAACGTTTCTGGTGCGTTTTTGGAGCACTCTGGAACCAAAAGCTTTTTGTCATCCTGATTCAAATCATCCTTATGCCATTTTAGTGAATTTAACATTTACATTTTGGAAAACAAACAAGAAAATTTATGTTCTTTACAAGGCTTGAAAAAGATTTTTTTTAAATTGATCTATTAGCTCAGGGGCGTCCTTGGCCGGGTGGTTCAGGTCGTTGACTTCAAACCACTTGCCCCTCACCGGTGTGGGTTCGAATCCCGACAGGCCGAATCCCGACAGGGACTTTGGATTATTTCATGTGAGGAAGCTATCCAGCTAGCTTACGGAACGTTGCTGGTTCTATTCAGGTGAACGTTCGTGCCTGAAATAGTGCACGGAAGGGCACATGAGTCGAATTACGCCTATTCTTGTAAACGACTTTATGGATCGATTGTTTCTGTGTGAAGTCTGGATATCAGAATTTGGATCTAGATACACTAAGAAGAATTGCTTTGTCCTTTTCATGAAACTCATATTGTTTGTTTGTTTGATTGGGTTTTACGTCACACCGACACAGCATAGGTCAGATGGCGACGTTCCAACTTTACTGGTGATAATAATGTTGCCATAGGTTCACCAAATCGTACCAATGCTTGTTACAATACCAATGACATATTCATATGATAAAAACCGTTCGTGTAAATAATTATTGTCAACCAGTTATACCAATGGTTAGTACGCTACCATAGGGAAAACTGTGACTGAAGTCAATATTTCGTCCGTATAGAGTGCAAAAGTCTTTTTAGTCTTATACATGAATACATAAACTTCTTTGAGTCTAATACTTGACAACATAAACTTTTTTTTAGTCTTATACTTGATTACATAACCATTTTAGTCTTATACTTAAAAACATAAACTTCTTTGAGTCTAATACTTGACAACATTAACTTTTTTTTAGTCTTATACTTGATTACATAACCATTTTAGTCTTATACTTAAAAACATAAACTTTTTTTTAGTCTTATACTTGATTACATAACCATTTTAGTCTTATACTTAAAAACATAAACTTCTTTGAGTCTAATACTTGACAACATTAACTTTTTTTTAGTCTTATACTTGATTACATAACCATTTTAGTCTTATACTTAAAAACATAAACTTCTTTGAGTCTAATAGTCTTATACTTGACTTGACAACATTAACTTTTTTTTTTTTAGTCTTATACTTGATTACATAACCATTTTAGTCTTATACTTAAAAACATAAACTTCTTTGAGTCTAATAATTACTTAACTTGACAACATAACTTTTTTTTTAGTCTTAATACTTGATTACATAACCATTTTAGTCTTATACTTAAAAAACATAAACTTCTTTGAGTCTAATACTTGACAACATTAACTTTTTTTAGTCTTATACTTGATTACATAACATTTTAGTCTTATACTTAAAAACATAAACTTCTTTGAGTCTAATACTTGACAACATTAACTTTTTTTAGTCTTATACTTGATTACATAACCATTTTAGTCTTATACTTAAAAACATTAAACTTCTTTGAGTCTAATACTTGACAACATTAACTTTTTTTTTAGTCTTATACTTGATTACATAACCATTTTAGTCTTATACTTAAAAACATAAACTTCTTTGAGTCTAATACTTGACAACATAACTTTTTTTTAGTCTTATACTTGATTACATAACCATTTTAGTCTTATACTTAAAAACATAAACTTCTTTGAGTCTAATACTTGACAACATTAACTTTTTTTTTTAGTCTTATACTTGATTACATAACCATTTAGTCTTTATACTTAAAAACATTAAACATTCTTTGAGTCTAATACTTTGACAACATTAACTTTTTTTAGTCTTATACTTGATTACATAACCATTTTAGTCTTATACTTAAAAACATAAACTTCTTTTTGAGTCTAATACTTGACAACATTAACTTTTTTTTAGTCTTATACTTTTAGATTTAAAACATAACCTTTGAGCTATACTTACAACATTTTAGTCTTTATACTTAAATAACATTTAAACTTCTTTTTGAGTCTAATACTTGACAACATTAACTTTTTTTTAGTCTTATACTTGATTACATAACCATTTTAGTCTTATACTTAAAAACATAAAACTTCTTTGAGTCTAATACTTGACAACATTAACTTTTTTTTTAGTCTTATACTTGATTATACATAACTTTTAGTTATATACTTAAAAACATAAAACTTCTTTGCAGTCTTACTTGACAACATTAACTTTTTTTAGTCTTATACTTGATTACATAACCATTTTAAGTCTTATACTTAAAAACATTTTCTTTGAGTCTAATACTTGACAACATTAACTTTTTTTAGTCTTATACTTGATTACATAACCATTTTAGTCTTATACTTAAAAACAGTAAACTTCTTTGAGTCTAATACTTGACAACATTAACTTTTTTTTAGTCTTATACTTGATTACATAACCATTTTAGTCTTATACTTAAAAACATAAACTTCTTTGAGTCTAATACTTGACAACATTAACTTTTTTTTAGTCTTATACTTGATTACATAACCATTTTAGTCTTATACTTAAAAACATAAACTTCTTTGAGTCTAATACTTGACAACATTAACTTTTTTTTAGTCTTATACTTGATTACATAACCATTTTAGTCTTATACTTAAAAACATCAACTTCTTTGAGTCTAATACTTGACAACATTAACTTTTTTTTAGTCTTATACTTGATTACATAACCATTTTAGTCTTATACTTAAAAACATAAACTTCTTTGAGTCTTATACTTGATTACATAACCATTTTAGTCTTATACTTAAAAACATAAACTTCTTTGAGTCTAATACTTGACAACATTAACTTTTTTTTAGTCTTATACTTGATTACATAACCATTTTAGTCTTATACTTAAAAACATAAACTTCTTTGAGTCTAATACTTGACAACATTAACTTTTTTTTAGTCTTATACTTGATTACATAACCATTTTAGTCTTATACTTAAAAACATAAACTTCTTTGAGTCTTATACTTGATTACATAACCATTTTAGTCTTATACTTAAAAACATAAACTTCTTTGAGTCTAATACTTGACAACATTAACTTTTTTTTAGTCTTATACTTGATTACATAACCATTTTAGTCTTATACTTAAAAACATAAACTTCTTTGAGTCTAATACTTGACAACATTAACTTTTTTTTAGTCTTATACTTGATTACATAACCATTTTAGTCTTAATATATAAACTTCTTTGAGTCTTACTAATACTTGAATACATAAACTTTTTTTTAGTCTTACAGTCGAATATATATACTTTTTTGAGTCTACCTTATACTTAAAAACTACCTTATACTTAAAAACATAAACTTTTTTTAGTCTTACAGTCGAATATATATACTTTTTTGAGTCTACCTTATACTTAAAAAACATAAACCTTTTTTTAGTCTAATAGTTGAAAAGATCTACATTAACTTTTTTAGCCTTACACTTGAACACATAATATCAAACACATGCAAATGAAAATCGTTCTAAAAAGACACTGATCTTAGAGTGACATTAACAATAAGTATGATATTTTTTAAGACAAAAAAGTTCATAAATCACGCAATATTAATTACTAACGTCACCATACACGTATCAAAAAGCCTATCTATTAACTGAAGCTTAGTCATAAAATTATTTGTTATTTGTAAATAGAATCTTATAAAAAAAAGTGACGATTTTGCGAAATACCGCTCATTATATACGGATATCTCTAATAACTAAAATGTCACTTATTACGAACGCTGGTTAAATAACCACAGTCCGTAACAGTTTGTAATTTCAAATACGTCATTCTTATTATTAATAAAGGTGTAATGCTAATGAAAATGATCACTGCTAATTGGTCCGAATGCGTATGAATCCCAACTCACAAACAGGGTTAAAAATTGTGACAATAAGAGGAACAGTCTATGTCAAACTTGTTCATGCTCAATAGGTAGAGCGCTGGACTGTGAATCGGGCGACTCGTGTTCGATTCCCGGATACCAGTGCAGGTCACTTTTGTTGTGATTGATCATGAAAATGTTTTAAACAGTCATATGCACTGTACCTCTGCTTTGGTATGTACAGAAGTTTACTGCTTGACAGCCTGCCCAGGAACGATGAACTGTGCTCGGGTTAATTCAACGTGGCGTATTGCCGTGATCCGGAGTGAAAAATACCAACACCACCACCAAAAAAGAATGTTCATAAAACGCACCTGTGTCCTGATACACAGCAAGGTGTACCTTATTCCAGAACCAAAAGACATAATTTCTTTACCACAGGACTGAAAAAAATCAATCGGTCATTTTATTTTTTTAAATTTAAAGATCCAAAATACAGAACGATTATAAAATACACGTATAAAAACGGTTATAAAACACAGAAATGCCTTTTAGAAACTATTACAAAATATGAAAACAGTTACAGAAATAGTTATAAAATAAGAAAACAGTTACAAAAAACCGGATATGAAGTAAGAAAACAGTTACAGAAACAGTAACAAAATAAGAAAGCAGTTATAGAAACAGTCGCAAAATAAAAAAGCTATTTCTTTTACAGCTATACAGTTATAGAAAAAATATCAAAATAAGAAATCATTTACAGAAACAGTTATAAAATACGGAAATAGATACAGAAACAGTTACAAAATAAGAAAGCAGTTACATAAACAGTCACAAAAGAGAGAAACAGTTGCTGAGACACAATTTCAATATATTATACGAGTAGTAATATTGTTCTTACATAGCCTGCTTCGCAGTTTTTGATAACATTACAGTACTCCGGCTGTAAAACGTGATCGCAAACAAAACATCTACTTCCGGGAAGATGGCTGACATCAACTTAAACGAAAATTGAAATGGAGGTCGATGTAAGATGTAAGACTATTAAAACAATTTGGTGACAACCATTTTGAAGCATGTTAAAGCGAGTCTGTTGAAGAGATTTGAAATGCATGAAACTTTTCTAATGCGTTGTTATTAACGCATTTGATGGTATAATGACATATAAATCCTGTTTCGGCATTTGCTCGTATATTTACATATAAAAATATCATTACCGCATTTTATTGTAATAACATATAGTCACTTCAATAAATCGTAAGATAATACAAGAATTGTCACCGCATTTGATTGTATAGTAACATATAAAAACCGCTATCGCATAACATTGTTTAAGAACATATAAAACCGATACCGCATTTGATTGTATTAACATTAAACAACAGTTACCGCATTTGATTGTGATAACATGATAACCGTTACCGCATTTCAGTGCAATAACATAATAACCGTTACCGCATTTCAGTGCAATAACATAATAACCGTTAGCTAGTACCGCATTTCAGTGCAGTGTAATAACATAAAAAAAATCGTAACCGCATTTCATTGATAAATAACATAAAAAAACCCGTTACCGCATTTGATCGTAATGACATATAATGTGAAGCGTACTATAGATTTATTCGATGAACCTTTCTCTTTGATAACTCTTCCATCTTTAGAAAATTTTACAAACAAATGTTTAAAGGGACTCCATTAAGTTTTTGTTTGTTTGTTGTTGTTGTTGTTTTGTTGGTTTTTTTTGACATGACGGAAATAATTTATCAAATTAATATTTTTATGTAGGACTAGACTAATAGCTTTAAATAAATTTCGGATTGTTCGCTCACTCAAATAATATTTTTAAGTACTCAATCTGACTATTTGTCTATGCAACTGTAGTGTAAGCCTTAAAATTTTCATTTGATACAGAAAAAGTTAACAATGCCGAAGGTGCTTCGAAAAAAAAAAACAACACTTTTAATGACGCACAGTAAACGTGATTAAATTTTCTTTTCACGATTTCAAAATAAATCGTGCCAAAGTGTTTCTTACGTAAACCTGGTGGGTCAAATTCCGACATCAGTACAGCTGACAGGTCACCAACATTTGAGCCGCGTCACGACAAAACCAACATAATGCGTTTGCGACCAACATGGATCCAGACCAGTCTGCGCATCCGCGCAGTCTGATCAGGATTCATGCTGTTCGCTATCAGTTTCTCTACTTGCTATAGGGTTTGTAAGCGAACAGCATGGATCCTGATCAGACTGCGCGGATGCGCAGGCTGGTCTGGATCCATGCTGGTCGCAATCCCATTATGTTGGTTTTGTCGTGACGCGGCTCAAATGTTCTTCTCAAAATTGTGATAATACATGTACGACTGAACGAGCTTGACGTAAATATCGACCTTTAATCGAATTTTGTATATCGGGTTCTGTTTGTTGTAAGTAATGTTACATGTACTTGTACTTTATTGACTAAAAGGATTGATCACTTCGAGGACTATTTAAAGAGTTGGGACAAAAACTCAATCTTGTCTTTTTAAACGGGTCCGGACTACCAAACATATTACAGAAATCAGATTTGTCTTTGGACAGCTTGTCTGTGGTATGCAAGCTTCATACCGCTAGTACCCTCTCAAAGTTCGAATTTATTTAGTTCCGTTCATTGTTTTCTCGTTTAGGACACACGCATTTATTTACTTGGAGACCTTTTCATGGAATGACACTGATGCATCACATTCATGGTTCGTGATACCCGACATAATTATGAACACAGTTCCGATTGATTTTTAATTTTCATATTAACTGTTGTATTCTCCGTAAGTAGGTGCTAGGGGGGTACGGTATTTTGCACTTTTCAGTACCGTTCATGAACAGGCCCTAGCTGCAACATTCGGGGAGGCGGGGAGAAAAAAACGTCGCATTGTCTTCTTTCACGAAAAAAAAACAGCCTTACATTTTGCAAAAACAATTCGTCAGATGCAAAAAAGGAGGGAATTTAAGCGGCGAAGACAAAAACGTCACTTTGCCTTCTTATATCAGTCACTTCAACCAAATATATTGCAGAAAGGGTAAGGGACTTTGGCAGGGGACAGAAAACGTTGCCTTGTCTACTTACATGAATCAGGACAACCGTACATATTACAGAAATCTCCGTCACGTGAAAGAGGGGAGGATGTTTAGGCGGGAAGACAGAAAACGTTGCCTTGTCTACTTACATGAATCAGGACAACCGTACATATTACAGAAATCTCCGTCACGTGATAGAGGGGATGATGTTTGGGCGGGAAGACAGTAAACGACGCCTTGTCTACTTACATGAATCAGGACAACCATACATATTATAGAAATCTCCGTCACGTGATAGAGGGGAGGATGTTTGGGCGGAAAGACAGTAAACGACGCCTTGTCTACTTACATGAACCAGGACAACCGTACATATTACAGAAATCTCCGTCACATGATAGAGGGGAGGATGTTTGGGCGGAAAGACAGTAAACGACGCCTTGTCTACTTACATGAATCAGGACAACCATACATATTATAGAAATCTCCGTCACGTGATAGAGGGGATGATGTTTGGGCGGAAAGACAGTAAACGACGCCTTGTCTACTTACATGAATCAGGACAACCATACATATTATAGAAATCTCCGTCACGTGATAGAGGGGATGATGTTTGGGCGGGAAGACAGTAAACGACGCCTTGTCTACTTACATGAATCAGGACAACCATACATATTATAGAAATCTCCGTCACGTGATAGAGGGGATGATGTTTGGGCGGAAAGACAGTAAACGACGCCTTGTCTACTTACATGAATCAGGACAACCATACATATTATAGAAATCTCCGTCACGTGATAGAGGGGATGATGTTTGGGCGGGAAGACAGTAAACGACGCCTTGTCTACTTACATGAATCAGGACAACCATACATATTATAGAAATCTCCGTCACGTGATAGAGGGGAGGATGTTTGGGCGGAAAGACAGTTAACGACGCCTTGTCTACTTACATGAATCAGGACAACCATACATATTATAGAAATCTCCGTCACGTGATAGAGGGAAGGATGTTAGGGCAGGAAAGACAGTAAACGACGCCTTGTCTACTTACATGAATCAGGACAACCGTACATATTACAGAAATCTCCGTCACGTGATAGAGGGAAGGATGTTTGGGCGGGAAGACAGTAAACGACGCCTTGTCTACTTACATGAACCAGGACAACCGTACATATTACAGAAATCTCCGTCACATGATAGAGGGAAGATGTTTGGGCAGGAAGACAGTAAACGACGCCTTGTCTACTTACAAGAATCAGGACAATCATACATATTACAGAAATCTCCGTCACGTGATAGAGGGAAGGATGTTTGGGCGGGAAGACAGAAAACGTTGCCTTAATTGTTTACTTACATGAACCAGGACAACCGTACATATTATAGAAATCTCCGTCACGTGATAGAGGGGATGATGTTTGGGCGGAAAGACAGTAAACGACGCCTTGTCTACTTACAAGAATCAGGACAATCATACATATTACAGAAATCTCCGTCACGTGATAGAGGGAAGGATGTTTGGGCGGGAAGACAGTAAACGACGCCTTGTCTACTTACATGAATCAGGACAACCATACATATTACAGAAATCTCCGTCACAACAGTGATGGCATACAATATCTCTATCTAGTTGTCCGCTATTTATCCCGATTGATGTTTGATTGGCGCTCCTTTTTCTGATCTTACTTTCGTCACCAAAGCAGCCGATTGCGTCACATTTCTAGAACAGATTAATCTAAGATGTAAATTTTGAAAGAACAGAAAGAATTCTCTGTTTAAAGCAATATTACAGAAACCTTAATGATCGATTTCAGACCTGTTCCGTGCACAAAGAATATGATTATTTTACAAATTTTGAAGCGAAACAAAGAAACTTTTACTGTTTACCCAAAATTCATAAAAGTAAACAGATAAATGAGAAGTGTTCGACACAACAATCATCAACAAACAATAATAATTCAAATGGCATCGATTTAAAGCATGTTAAGAAAACAAAATTAAAAAAAAAATATTTTACGCCATTGTAAATCAGCTGTTCGATATTTTGTAAGGAGTCGTCTGATTGGCCAATAGTAACGAAACCGCAACGTTTCGCACACGGATGCCTAATGGCGTAGCAAGGAATCGAAAGGCCGTGAAAATGTTTGAAACTCGAATTTCGCGTGTATCAGATGCTATTGACGGTTGTGAGTGGTCCCATTTAATGTATTTAGTAATATTATTTAGTAAATTCAAGAGATGTTGACCCGTACTCGGCTGACAAACATGTATTAGTCTATGTTTACGTACATAATTGTTGTGTCACTTTTTTGTCTACCTGGGAGTTTTAGCACGAATGCGCTGAGAACGGGAAGTGCTAGAGACTTGGGGTCGGTCTCATTTAGAAGCTTATTAATACAAACGTGAAATAGTGATACAAGCTTTTTTTTAATTATCTGGACAATTGTTATCACAACGTCCCGGTAAATAACCCATTGCTCATATATAGACTCGAATCTGGAGTTTCCGGCCTTGCATAACTTATAGTATATTTTTAAGGGGGCGATTTTTTTTTTTTGGTTTTTGACACATTTAAGATGAACACAGATGTTTTTTATCAATGTGGTCAAATTTTCTTCCCAGGTCCGATACACGTGCCTGCGGATGTTATTGGCCAAAGTGTAACTTTTTAAACACTACAACCGGACACCAAGATAAAAAGCTTGTAATAAATGAAAATAACAGCATATCTGGGGCATAATAGGTCTTTAAAAAAATGATCATTGCGCCAAGATAATGTTTTAAACAAAATAAGGAAAACTAATGTTTTTAAACAAAATAAGGAAAACTTAACATAAACTGACCGTTTTTTCTCGGCACCCAGCGTTCACTACAATTTCGCCACCGATGTCTATTTCTTCCTCCACATAACATACCTGTAATTAGTAAAACTGTTTTGAATGATCTTATTCTTAAATTAGAATTATCAGACATTTTTTATCTTATCTTGTGCATATATTTTGGAAATGCCTCGCAAAATGGCCGCCAGGGGAGGTAATAATTGCTAAATGAAAAACCTATATCAATCTGATTGTCATCTACTTTGTGTTAACATCAAACATATCTTCAAAAGCTATTCATCAGTATTGCAAAAATGTGACAATTTACGAATTTTTGCATTAAAGTAACTCAAAACACAAAAAGTACAGCCTTAGTATTTGACACTTCAGTTACAGTTTATCAAATAAATTTAAAGAACTTTTATGGTGAATGTTCAGTGAATGTTCAACCCCTCTTCCCTAATTGCTGTGGGTTTGCCTCTCGCCAGGGACATTAACTCTTTGACTTTCGTGTGTTGAAACCATCTATAGTTAGTTTACGGAACGTCGGCGGTGCTATTCAGGGGTCTGTTTGTGCCTGATTCGTGCACGGAGAGGCACTTGAGGTCTTCCTCATCAAGTAAAGCTAAAAAGTCGCCATAATTATGACCTCTATTGTGTTGGTGTGTGTGTGACTCAAGACCCAACCAGAAACAATAATCGCACCGTACAATCTAATGGGTAGACAACCGTTCAACGCGTCGACAGCCGTACTAGATTACACATGTCGGTATAAAAAGATAATTGAAGGATGGTAAGTATTTATCTATTTTTAACGTATCCAAACAGTGTTTGAGTAAATCAATGTTATGGGGTCATAGTCATCATCTAAAGGAGCCTGCTAACATTTTTTTTTACTCTTTCCCAGTTACTATAGCACAAAACCCATAAAATTGTTTCGTCGAACGGTTTTCACCATTATTCATAGTTGTTGATGAGTGGATGTCGATGTTATCATTAAATAGAGTCGAAAGGTTGATGACGTAACTCAAGACATTCAAACTTAAATACCCTTTATCTTTATAAGAAAAGCTTTTTTGAAGGTATGGTTTGGAATATTTAATGACTAAATGTTGACGTTTACGAATCGTATCTGTTAATGATTTATTATCATGAGGTAATATAAGTTTGTGTGACTTTTAAAAAAAAGCCGCATCTCATAGGAAAGTGTGGTTATTTTCAATCAAAATTCACGTAAAGTTGAGCTTGCACAGGACCAGAAATTTATTAGCAGGCTTTTTTCAATGTTGACTATGAATCCACAGCATGGATTATTTGAGCACACTTGGGATATGTTTAAATAGATAAATACCGTTCGTAAATTATGTTTTTATACCGACATATATATACTAGTACGGCTGTTGACGCATTGAACGGTTGAACTTTACGGTGTGATTATCAGCAAATTATTTTTTTCTGTCATGACAGTACGTCATGACATTGTATGACTCAATTTCCTGTTCATGTAAATAACTTTTTAAGTGTTGCTACGTGCAGGAAAAAGAATACGTTACTCTAATAATTTTTCTTATAAACAAGTGAAAGTTATACCGTCATATATAAATAGAGGGTATAGAATGAGTGTAAGTTCAATACTGAATTTATTGCACGAGTTGAAAAAAATTATATTATGCGAGCCTCTGGCGAGCATAATATCATTTTATCCAACGAGTGCAATAAATTCAGTAATGAACTTACACGAATTTAATATTCTATTTATCACATACCCAAAATAAAGACCGTTTAAAGTGAAATAAGAGTCATTTTTCATATAGTATAACGCTAACATTTAGCGCGTCTTTACACTATGTTTGTATAACGCTAATGACGTCACGTCAAAATATATGCACGGCCGTGCAATACCATATTTACGGAGTCGCAAAAACCGGCACGGGTGTGTGATAAATGACAATACAGAGCTCAATCCCTGATAGAAACACTACGAAATAGAGTTGAAATTACGAAATGAATGTACATTAAGAAAGGAAGTTCACCGATGTCCAAAAGCCTAAAAATATATGAATTGAATTCCTTACGTGATAGATAAACTGGGGCACTTAAAACAAAAGGATATGCAAAAGATAATTAAGAAATGTACTCAGAAATGAATTAAAAATCGTATTTTTTGTGCTATTCTTTGTCCGATTTGAGTCATCGCTTTATAATTTTGGGCCATTTTTCACAATTAGATTACATGTATTATCATTCAGGGAAACGGATGTACTGAAATTTACCATCATTACCTGCAACAAGAGGAGCATTAATCTGGAGAAAAAAAATTTTCAGTCCCGACATGTCAAAAAAAAAAACCTCAGTGGAGTCCCTTTAATGTACAAAATACTAACGCTCGCAAATGCATGTACTAGACTAGTACTGTTGTTTCCAAATGAAGCAAATTTATTAGTCAAACTATCAATAACAATACAGAAAATGAAATTATACTTATCTAGATATGAACGCTTAAAATCTGCTAGCTAAAGAGACTTCTGCGAACAGGTTTTATAGTACGGCTTAACTGTCGCACAGCGTCAAAATAAAAGCGACATATAAAGTTATGAAAGCCAGAACTATGCAACTGGCTGACTAACTTGACATAATGGACAGTGGCACCGCTTCTGTTTTCACTCGGAACGCCTCGATGATTATTATTTAGCCGAAAAGTTGCGATTGTTCCGTTATCGGGATACCACGCCTATTATCGAAAATGGCGGAATTTAAAGAATTCGGCAGGTTAAAGCTGTTTGCCTCAAAATAAGCCAAACTTGTTCAAGAACATCAAAAACTGAACAAAACTGAACAAAGATTGTAAGAAAGGTACAAAGATTCATAACAATTTACATATTATGTGCGATTAATTACTAATTTTGGAGTTTTTAACACCATAAATCTAACTGCGTAAAGGCTATTTTTGCATATTTTGACCTCTTTCCCTTTTTTTTGGTCATTTACATGGATTGTAAACATCGTTTGGTATGTGTAAATTTATACATTTGTTCACTTCACAATATTTTACTTTCATATACATTTTTATTAAAAAAACCCAAAAAACATGAACATAGGCACGCTGCTTTAGGGGTTTATTATTACAAAACTGTTATTACAAGTTTTACTTACCTCTTTAATAGGATTACATTTCACCATATCCTCACAGTGAGTAAAATGGGCTGCTTTCCTGCATGACATGCATTTTAGAACATACTGACCATTCACTAAAATTAAGAATTTAAAATATATTGTAAAGACAGTGTTGGAACAGTACCTCTTGACGCTTACAGAAATCATGATCAAAAAATAGAAAAATATCGCTTTTTTCGCCTCTTCTTACATTTTTCATTCATAATCGTATAAAAATCGATGAGAAGAGATGAATTACACGTTCGGCGGGTGAAAAGGCGAGATTTTAGCGCCTTGTCCGGTATAAACGGAATACGGTATTTAGTATGGTGCTCACTCTATGAAATTGTATATTGGATTTACTCTGCTTTTAATTTAGAAAGTTTTTCAAATAATAGGGATTTCAATAATAAAATTTAAAAAAATGAACAACCAGCAGTATAAAGCCTGATCATATTGCACCAAAGTGCAGGGTGGCCTGGCTGTTTACCACTGGCATCAGAGCTTCAAGTTGATGCCAGTTAATTACTTTTTTTTGTGATATAAATAAATGTGCTCCAGTTTGTTGATACAAAACAATAAACTCATAAAAAACTACACTTTCGCTCTAAGTCTCTTTCTATAATTTATATTTATTTGTAGAAACCCCGTATTACATATAGGGGAAAATCGTATTTTCTTTACTATCTAACATTTGTAACAAAGCAGAATATGTTTCTGCAACGTATACATGTATATAGTTAAATTACTTTTTATCTTTGTTAAGAATACACTATTTCCATACATTTCTTTTAAATTGAATTATTCTTATGAAAGTTTAAGTAACTATATAAGACTTGTTCAGAACTTTTACAATGTGACAAACCTTTTTTTATAATAATTCACTCATACAGGAGATTTCCTCTAGTGATTTCCTATAAAATAAATGTAGGTGAAAACAAAAATACTCACCATTTAGAGTAAAGGCTGATATTAATAACATACACGTCCCTACAAAATGAATAAATACTTAAATAAATAAATAAATAAATAAATAAATAACAGTAAGTAAGTATAAGTAAGGAGAGCACAGGAGAGGTGAGGTCAGTCAAGAAGTCAGTCAGTTAGTCAGTGTTAGTGAGTGAGTGAGTGAGTGAGTGAGTGAGCACGCACGCACGCATCATGCACACCAAACACACATACATACATACATTCAGTCAAACTTGTACATGTAATAGACAGATAAATAAATAAAAAAGGGGAAAAAATAAATACGTTATATATATTGTAAGATATATCTCGTTAATTAATATTACAATTATAACAGTTTCTCATCTTAAATAATAAGCTTACAAATAACACAAACGGTCTGAATTATTTAACCAAAACGACCAACAACTACTACAAAATTGCCCAATAGAAGTTGTAATAACTTTCATATAAGCTTTTGCATAAATGTTAACATACTTTTGAAGAATTTCTTTGAACTTGGAAAATTAAAGAAAAATTTTATAACTTTCATATAAGCTTTTGCATAAATGTTAACATACTTTTGAAGAATTTCTTTGAACTTAGAAAATTAAAGAAAAATTAAGAAAGAACAAGGAAAATGACCACCAGGACAAATTTCTCATTGTTTTTGTCAAATGTCCTTATACACATGTATATTTAAATAAGAGCATTTATATTATTTGTTATGAAAATTTTTGACCCTATGTATAAACGGTTGTTTGCGAATTTAACCCGAGCCGCTTTTTATAATTAATAATTTACTTGTATTGTATATAGTAAAAGTATCGGGAATATAATCATAAGATCACTGGTTCGGTTCTGGTGAGGCAAAATAGATTCTAATGGTCACCGCTTGTTTCGAAATCATGTGGGATAAGTAGCCGGTCTCTTGCGTAGGAATTTATATTTACAGGTTAGTTATCCAGGAAAACCGGTCAGGTGCTAAATCGGTCGGTTAAGCTGCATTTGCATGTTAGTTTTGCTGTGGTGGTCGACATAACTTTGCTCCATCCATGGCTTTGGTGAATTGGAACAGGAGTGGTGAGAATTTCAACCGATTTGTTCATTAAATCAAACCACAATTACTATGTAAACTAAACCATAAATGAGCCGCGTCACGACAAAACCAACATAATGGGTTTGCGACCAGCATGGATCCAGACCAGCCTGCGCATCCGCGCAGTCTGATCAGGATCCATGCTGTTCTCTATCAGTTTCTCTACTTGTTACAAAGTTTGTAAGCGAACAGCATGGATCCTGATCAGACTGCGCGGATGCGCAGTCTGGTCTGGATCCATGCTGGTCGCAAACCCATTATGTTGGTTTTGTCGTGACGCGGCTCAAATGATTCTCTAAACCAAATGACACAATGATTCTCTGAACGAAATCACAATAATTCTCTAAACCAAATCACAGTGATTCTCTAAACCAAATCACAATAATTCTCCAAACCAAATCAAATGATTCTCTGAACGAAATCACAATAATTCTCCAAATCAAATAAATCTCTGAACGAAATCACAATAATTCTCCAAACCAAATCACAGTGATTCTCTAAATCAAATCACAATGATTCTCTGAACGAAATCACAATAATTCTCTAAACTTAATCACAGTGATTCTCTTAACCAAATCACAACAATTCTCTAAACCAAATCACAGTGATTCTCTAAACCAAATCACAATAATTCTCTAAACCAAATCACAGTGATTCTCGAAACCAAATAACACAATGATTCTCTGATCGAAATCAAAATAATTCTCTACATCAAATCACCATTATTCTTTAAACAAAATCATCATGATTCTCTGAACCAATTCACAATGATTCTCTGATCGAAATCACAATAATTGTTTACATCAAATCACAATGATTCTTTAAACCAAATCATAATGATTACTTTCATTTTAAAGCAAATAAAAAGACTCTGTAATAAAACTAAACCAGACTGAGCTGTAAAAGTAAAATTTAATATAAAACCAAATGATAAAGACTCTCAAATGAAATTGAAACATAATTAAACCAAATATACGAGCATAAATGCCAATTCTCTCTCACCCACCAACCAGAAGCATAAATACTCTAATAAATAAAAATACTAATGTAAAATATAAAAGAATAAAAGAATGCAATAAAATAAAAGAAAAATAAAAGAAAATAGGAAGCGTATAAATTACACATGTCTTTTATTATAATACATGTATACCGTTTGTTTATCTGAGGCTAAAGTTCACCCAAGGTCAAGCGGAAAGTGTCGTCTGCTGGTCATTTGTGTACATGTGAAACATTCGTTGAAATGAAAGATAAAATGTCAAAAACCGGGAAACATCTGCCATTGTAAATCTAATGCCGCATGTATAATACTATATAGTCCTAATTGACAAGGTTATATTATTAGTTATAAAGATTTTTGGCAGGTTATTTTGCTCTATATAAACGGTTGTTTATATATATATTAACCCAACCGCTAGGATGGAGTTATATTGCAAACAACCGTTTATATACGGCCATATAACCTGCCAGAAATATCTATAACAATTTTATAATACAGCAAACATCATTTTTAGAGGAATAAAGGCTTAAGCGATATTTCTTTATAAATTCTCAGCAGCCTTGTATATTATAACACTATATAAACGTCACGATTATCCAATAAAAAGCGACGTTACAAACGTGTAGTATGATATGACGTTGTAAATTTGAATAACCAGAGCCCCAAGGAGAGGGTTAAATTGCACACAAGCGTTTGTACACGATCATTAAACATGTTAAAATTGTTTATAGAAAATTTACTATACAATGCACAGCAGAACTTGCCTTATTTGAAAACAAAATCATATTAACAATGTTTATAAATCTTTAACTAAGAAAATTTCCAAAAAAAAAAAAAGCAATGGAAACCACAGAAACGCTGAGAGAAAAAAAATGGCGGGAAAAATGTTTTTCGAAATAGGGAAGGAAAATCATTTATAATGGATCAAGGTTAAATAACAAAGACTACGTTTGTTTACGTTTAGATGGTCGGGTTTTAAGAAGCACCAGCACTGTAAATGTCATATGGCGGCTAAACTGCACTATTGATGGAGGATGACCTGACTTAGGTGCCCCGCCGTACATTATTGCAGGCATTAACGGGCACCGGAGTGGAAAAACCGACGTTCCGTTATCTAGCTGCACAGCTTTATCACATGAAAGGTGCCCCGCCGTACATTATTGCAGGCATGAACGGGCACCGGAGTGGAAAAACCGACGTTCCGTAATCTAGCTGCACAGCTTTTTCACATGAAAGAATAAAAATTTCCTGGCGGGATTCGAACTCACAGCGTGGAGGAGCAATTGTTACAAAGGCGATTATAAGGAGACAGCAGTAACCAGTCAAATGGAAAAATATCTGAGATATACTTACGCTCGGGGAAATTAGCTTCTGTAACTGTTATATAGGAGGAGGAGGGTGGGGATGTGATATGATGATACTGGAAATAGGTTTCGAATTTTTGCAACCTTGGATGTAGGTCTGAACAAATGACTTCTGTACAAAATTAAATATCTTTCTCTCCAGAAAAAAAAACTATTTCTAATTGTGCAAAAATGTCCTACAAGGGAAAAACAGTTAAACGCGTTCAACTCAATTGGGCTAAGAAACGCACAAAAAGTCTTTTTTTTAAACTTATTTTTGAGCATGTTTCGTTATTAACTTTTGCTTAGTTTGGCCAAAGTGCGTAAGAGTTTTCTAGTTTTCATGCCCTTTAGACCTCAGTGGAGTTCCGCATAGGCTTCATTAAAACTGTAATAGCCTTTACATGTAATGAAATATTTATTAAAAAATGAACCCATTTAACCTGATGTGCATTTCAATAAAGTGGGTCTTGAACTCTTAAACATTTCACGCGGCGTATACGCGTAATAGATTTGACCTGTGTTCTGAACTCGGAACCAATGCATATCTACGGACTTCATTATCAAAATACCAGTCTAAATTTGAACTGCCGGAGATATAAGATTTCATGGCTATCTAAACAGTTAAGTATCTAGCTATGCCGCCGCCGCCACCGCTCGTAGAGTAGTAGTAGGGAAGCGTTCAAAAAAAAGTGAGACGGTCTTTACAGCGAAACAAAGAGATTGTTTCTGTTAACAGATTTGATGACATAAAGTAGTACACCATCCCAATAAAATCAATATTATATTCTCCCATATATTAACACCTATCCTTGGTTACCGAATCTGAAAATTTTCTTTCACGAATTGTAAATAAATAACTTTCTTGTTTTTGAAAAAAAAATTGAAATTGTGCTTTTTTTTCTATAAAAAATCTCTTCATTCCAATTAAAACCCATCCATTAACTTTTCGCATGACCAAATAAACTGCACCTAACTTATTAAGTACATCGTCCTGAAGAGATATAATTTCACTTACCCAATCCTGAATTGAACAAAAAATTCATTTCTACTTCACATACTGTTTGTACTTTAATGTTATTGAAATTTAAATGTCTAATTGTTTTATACTTGTCAGTGAGGACAGATAACGACGGCGTTTGTAGTCACGAAGTCCTTAGCAACCAAATATTTCACTTATACACCTGCACACCAAATAAACAAACACACCAAAAACAGGCGCAGAAAAAATGTAAAAATGTCTTTGTTTTAGGACAGCTACACTGTCTGCTGTTGTTGAACACTTTTAAAGCTACATGCATCCAGATGAGTCAAAATATTTCAATAAAATCAAACTTGAGAAAAATGTACTGAGATGTAAGGAAAAGTAAAATGCTTCAAGATTCAAGTAATATTTTACATATTATGTGCGATTAATCACTGATTTTTCAGAATTTACAACTATATTTCTACTGCATTACTAACGCAGTTAAGGCTATTTGTGAATATTTTAAACACTTTTTTGGTAGTCATTGATAATGTTTTAATTGTTTCCTTTTGGTTTCTTCACAATATTACACATTCAAATACATTTTCCAATTTTCATGAAAATTAGTATAAATCTGGAGGTGTGCTGCTTTAAAAGATATTTTCAAGCATGCTTACGCAGTAAGGGCTATTAATGCATATTTTGACCTCTTTTTTAGTAATTTACATGGATTGTAAGCGTTGTTTATGATGTATTAATTAATATCTTTGTTCACTTCACAATATTTTACTTTTAATTACATTTTCAAAATTTTCATGAAAGTTAGCCTGAATCTGGAGGCATGCTGCCTTAAAAGGTACTCGGAGAACAGAAAAATGTTAAGTTCGGCTTTCAAACGTCAGCTTTCTAAAAAATAATTGAATCCCATATAGGCGCAGACGACAAATATTTTAGAATTTCCGCAATGGTTCATCAAGAATGCGGAAAGAAAATGTAAATTATCAACAATGCTTGGAATTTAGAAACAATTTATCTACTTCAACACGCGATTGGATGGTGGTTGAGCCATCGTTTTTATTACTCAATGTTTTATATTGTTTATTTGATGGGTTTGTTGACAAAGGCGCCAGTTTAACCATATTACGATTTCCAAAAGTTGATTTCAGTATCAACTTTTCGGTCCTTTCCGCCAGTCTTCCGTTAAGCTTCTGGTGAGTGCGCGCGCGTGTTGTTTTTGTTTTCGCGGGCGTTGTTTTTGTTTTCTTTTTTTAATTAAATGCAAATCAAGAAATTTCTTACGGCGAAATTAAAAATTTCTTAGATATTTATATAATTCATATTATACAGTAAATAACCATTGCAAAAATGTGATAATATAATAAAAAGAAAACCGTTCAATCCTGAATCCTTTCTATGACATCCCGGACTAGTTATAATGGATTGGCTGTAAAATAAATTTGTCACCGATATGCCTACTTACTCATATGTATACATGCATGAATTAACATAAGCACTGATGCTGATGCATAAAATGCAACTTTAAACTATACGCTTTAACTAAAGAAATCCATATTTTTTTATACTTTGGAAAGGCCAAACTAACTACTATCAGGGGAGGTAAACAAAGTAACATTTGTGTGAACTGCTGTCAGGGGAGGTAACAATCTATATTCTTGTACGACTACTCAGTACTATCAGGGGAGGTAAGCAGAGTAACATTTTGTGTGGTAACATTTTGTGTGAACCGCTCTAAGGGGAGTAACTATCTATCTTGTACGACTACTATCAGGGGAGGTAAACAAAGTAACATTTGTGTGAACTACTGTCAGGGGAGGTAACTATCAACAGTCTTGTACGACTACTAACATGGGAGGTAAATAAAGTAACATTTTGTGTGAACCACTTTAAGGGGAGTAACTATCTACACTCTTGTACGACTACTATCAGGGGAGGTAAACAAATTAACATTTGTGTGAACTACTGTCAGGGGAGGTAACTATCAATATTCTTGTACGACTCCTATCAGGGGAGGTAAACAATGTAACATTTGTGAGAACTGCTGTCAGGGGAGGTAACTATCGACATTCTTGTACGACTACTACCATGGGAGGTAAACAAAGTAACATTTGTGTGAACTGCTGTCAGGGGAGGTAACTATCAACATTCTTGTACGACTACTACCATGGGAGGAAAACAAAGTAACATTTGTGTGAACTGCTGTCAGGGGACAAGACTATGTACTACTATCAGGGGAGGTAAACAAAGAAACATTTGTGTGAACCACTGTCAGGGGAGGTAACTATCTACATTCTTGTATGACTCCTATCATGGGAGGTAAACAAATTAACAGTTGTGTGCACCACTGTCAGGGGAGGTAACTATCGACATTCTTGTATGACTACTAATCATGGGAGGTAAGCAAAGTAACATTTGTGTGAACTGCTGTCAGGGGAGATAAACAAAAACAGAAAACACAATCAAAATATTTCAGAATTCATTAAATGAAAGATATCACAATATATCAGAAGAATATCTTTTATAATCAAGGACATAGATATTTATTAGTTTTGCTGGTGTAATCAAAGGTAAAGTTCATCTGTTATCACATTATTATACTAGTATATATTGCTTTAAGCCATTTCATATATAGACTGAAACCAGACATGTATTGCTTCTATGCAAGATAATCTTCAAGAAATTTACCTTAAAGGAAAGCCACTGAGGTTTTTTTTTTAACATGAAAGGACTTTAAATATTTTTTGAGACTTGTGTACTATAATTATGATGAATGTCTTGACTTTTAACTTGTGTGAAAAAATTTCACACCAGTCCCTCACTCCATTTACCCAGAATGATTATTTTTAATGTGCAAAGTGACTCAAGAATGAAAAGCATTGCAATGATTTTCACTAAAACCTGGTTAAAATCGTGCAACAAATCAATTTTCAGTTTAACTGTGTATACCTTAAGAGTATACTTCTTTGTCATCTTTTGAAGATTTTTCCATTTGAAGTACATCACATGATGTATGCAAGAATTTCTAATTTATGTTTTTAGTCTTTTTTGACCTCAGTGGAACTCCTTTAAGGCTTGTCAAAAAAGCAATTCATGATTTCAAAGTCCTTGCTTGTCAACCATTTTAATAACTGTAAAAAAATCAAAAACCCAAAGAGCTGCTGGCAGCATGCTCAACAATTCTCAATGTTTAATAGTTAAACAAGAGCATGTATAATGCAGAAATTCATAAATACGAATATTTCATCTAAGAAATAAATGACATGTTCATGAGTCTTGGATATTGACCGTAGAATTTTCTATGTTCAGAAAGGGCCATTATCCATTCAAAATCCATGTTAAGAGTTATGTGCCTTGGAGAGAGACATCCAATTATGATCCAAAAAACATGTTTTAAGTTTGAAGTGAAAACCATCAGTAGTTTTGAAGTTGAGAGCAAAAGTTACAGGAACAAATTTTGTATGTTCTCAAGTCAAAGGGGAATAATTCAAGAGTTGCAGACTTTGGATAGAGATCTCCAATTATGCTTCCAAGACATTTTTTTAAGTTTCAAGTTAAAACTTTCAGAAGCTCAGAAGATTTAAGTGGCATGCAAAACTTAGAGCAACAAACTTTGTAAGTTCACAAAGGGAAATAATTTTGTCAAAATCCAAGCAAGAATTGCAGGCCTTGGATAAGTGACCTCCAATTATGATTCTTATGATCGTTTTTTAAGTTAAAACTTTCAGTAAATTTGAATATTTGAATTGCATGCAAAACTTAGAGCAACACAGTTTGTAAGTTGACAAAGGGCAATAATTCATGGGTCTTGAACAATGTTAAGTTACAAGCAAATAATTATATTGAATTGAAAAGATATGATATTGCACAAGAAACTACATATAAAACTTTAACCTAAATTTAATGTCAACACTGATGCCTGAATAAAACGAACAGCACCATCATTCTTCAAAAGTTTTAATAGTCAAGTGACATAAAACTTATAAACTTTTATATCTTAACTTGATCTGTAAGAATTTGAAATTAATATGCATTTTCATAATATATTCATTCATACAAACAATATATATAGAACCTTGTGATTGTATTTAAATTATCTAAATGTATCAACATATACATTGGTGCAAGTTGGAAATTTGGAAAAACCTGAAAACATAAATTCATAATCATTTTCCTACATAATATAATAGTAAAACATGATGAAATTTGTCACAAAAAAACTTGAGCTTCAGGCATATGCCTGAAAACTTGCACCCATGCATATACAACCTATAACCAGACTATATTGATAATATCGTAATAGTTTTAGATTTGTAAACGTCTGATTAATAAATTTCTTGTCTTTAATTTGGTTGTTGACAAAAGAAACATCTTATGCCACTATCTCAAATGAATTAAGATATATGTGAATAAGCTACACACCATATTCTGTGATTTATACAAAACAACAACAACAAAGCACAAGTACAAAATATACGAACAACCTGTACCTTGGCTGAAAATTTCTGTAAGCCAAATTTGCATAATTTTCTCTTTTCACAAACAAATTATATCACAATGGGATAACAATTTTACCAAATTAATGATATATTCTGCTCAAATTTGATATTTGAAAATATCAAAAATTATTACACTGTCTCTTCATAAATATAAAATCAACACGTTTATTATTGGCAACCAAAAATCAAAGTTTTAGATTCCTATCTGCACTATTGGTGCATTAACAATTAAGGCTCCCACGTTTACATTTTTTTGTAAACGTTTACACGATTGCTAGGAACCGAAACGATACCGTTTAAACGGTGGTACCTCTATGTACTATACTACATCATGTATTCGAGTCGCCAGATGATGACTTACTTTCTATTTTTAACACATGTACAAAACAAACAAATAAATAATGTTCAGGGCTCATCACGATTGTGTCGGCACACATTTTCTGCATTGAATCCCCATTTCTCTCTTTTGAAAGATCAAATTTACAAAACACGTATTACGTCACGAGCGATTATTGCAAAGCAATGCTGTGTGGAAGGTTGTAAACACCCATTTTCCGTTATTTTTTAATTATTTGCTTATAGAATGTCAATTTCCTGTGGTTATTTAATATCCATGGATAATGTTCGTAAGCAGAATAAAATGT